TGTTCAGATCGCTGTGTAGGATATGACTCACTGACACCCATGTGAGGATGATAGTTGTCTCTAGAAGCCTTTTCATCATAGTGGATGGGTTCAGCATACTGGTATGGCTGAGCATACGACTGCGTACCGAGACTCTGAGTAGGCGTACGGTAGAATGATGTTGCTTGAGGCTGGTAACTTGTACGGGTGAAAGAGTGCAGTCCGTCACCTGCTCAGTTATTTGTCTGATCTGTGCAGAAGAATATTCATGGGAATCTCTGACGTGCTTGGTGAGTACTGGCTGGCTGCGGCTTGTTTCTGGCACATGAAAACGGGGAGCTGGCGATGGGGGCACTGGTTTGCATGAGGTGGCCACGTTTGTGGCTAGATGCTGAATCTCACGTTTCATGATGGCATTCTCTGCTTTCAGACCCTGTAATGCAGATAAAATCTCTGGCAGGTGTTGAATGCAGCTACGAAGCTCATCATTCTCTCTTTGCATCTCCTTCCATGTAGACTGTCTGTTCTGCAGCTCTTCATTCTCTTTGTGTGAGTCTCCCAGTGTATCTTGCCATTCATCTTGTATCACCAGGTCACTGAAGTGTGAATGTTGACTTATTGGGGTAGAGACCCGAGACTCACGTTCTGCAGACAGTGACGCAAGTTCAGCATCATCTTCATCTTCATTGGAATATGCAGGTTGCAGGGATCTTCTCTCAGGTCCAGTGCCCGGTTGCATAAAGTACTTTAAGTTTTTCCCTTAAGTATGATACTTAAGGGGCGATTTACCCTTACCTAAGAGAACAACTTAAGGGTGTTGCATTTAATCTCTTAAACGGTTCTCTTAGGTAAGGGAAACATTTAAGTGTTTCACGACAGCGATCCTGGATTCACGTTATAAAAGTATGTTGTTGCCATAGATACGCAAAACACTAACATGTCGGAATATCACGTGTCAGTCCAGTGACGCTTAGGGATGGGACGATACACTTAAACTCACGATACGATGCACCTCGATATGCCAGGGTCACGATACGATATCAAAAAAGGAAAAAAAAGAAAAAAATATTACTGTATAACAACAACTTATTCATTTGCTTTGGCCGCCAAAGCAAATGTGTGTCCCGCCAAAGCCTTTTTTGATCGGCGAGTGATGTAGAATGAATTGACTGCTGCGCTTGACAGGGCGCATAACGAGCAGAGAGAGAGAGAGCCCCGGCCGCGCACTCTCACGTCTTCAAACAAAACGAGCGCTGTCTTGCTCTCTCTCCCTCGCGCATAATCAAAATCAATTGACACGATAGTAAAAGGTCGGAAGACCGCAGTTTCACGTGGAGCATTTGGAGATTATTAGAGATTAGAGACTCTAGGCTTATGTGGTGGTTACAAAAGTAGATAAGTATTTGTAAATAAATAAGTATATAAATAGTAGTAAATAAATATATGATATGTAAGATGTGACGACAAGAGAATGTATTTCTAATACATGTTTTTTTTGTGATTATTTCTTTGACGATTAATCTTCCCTGCTCAATCGTTCGATTATTTGATTGCTTTTACCTTTTGGGAGTGTTCGCCTGCTTGAGGGAGGGGGCTCACGCGCGCTGCTCAAACAATACAGACTCTGATAAGTGAAGCAGCAGCAGCTCCGTGTCCTGTATTAATTTATACATATATCTCCCCTCATCAGGTATGAATTACATAAAAGCAATGAGAGTATGCTTTTTTGACATGTAAGAGTTTAAGAAATGTTAATTACATTGTTTAAAGTGTGTAAGTTTACTGTTATTACGAACATGTAAAAGTTCGCTGCAAGTCACGTCTGTGTGCGTCACGCGTGCTAGTTATAAATTTCATGCTAGTGATGGAGACCATGCGGTCTCAGAGAGAAGGCGCAATATTAGAGTAAGTCCACAAATAAGATGTGTCTTGGTGAAATAATGCAATGAGTAAGTTGTAAGTGCCAAATGACTTTGAAAATGAGTGTCTGTACTAAAAATGTATCAGGAAGAATAATTCTGGCAAACATGAACACATTTTTAGGATTTATTCACGTGTAAAATGTTATATATGTTATCAGTGAATATTTCATAGTACCTATGCTTAATCTGTGGACACAGTAGTAAAAGAGAAATACCGGTACTGTATATGTAATTCTGTTATATATTGTGATTAGCCTACTCTTGAAGTGATGCACTGTCATTGATTGACATAAGAGTGATTGAACTGTTTTACATTGTATAAAAAACAATACAGACTCTGATAAGTGAAGCAGCAGCAGCTCCGTGTCCTGTATTAATTTATACATATATCTCCCCTCATCAGGCGGTGAGGGTACTACACTTACACTCAATGAACAACATCTCAACACTAAATTATAAAGGCCTGTCTCATATATACTGCACCTGTCTCAAATACAAGCCGGTGCAGTTTCGACGATTTGGGAAAATAAAAGCCCGGGCTATTATTTGAAGTTTTACGGTATATATATACATTTGACTCCATGGTCGGCTGTTTGGGGGCAAGGCAGTTGGTACTGATGCTAATATTTGTTAGCTCGCTGTAGACTGCAGTGTTGTTGTTGCAACATGCGCTGTCTTGACGTGATGACGTACCGCACCGTTCCCCGGATATAATTTTTTTTTTTCCATTTAGTTTTACACTGCTTGATCAGCAGATGGTGCTGCCAGCCTGCCACCATAGACTGTATGTCTGCCCATATACATACACACACACATATAATACACTAAATTATTTATATACTACGCAAGTCATGCAGCAGTGCCATCTATCTTTATTTCGCGATCCATTTTTTTTCGACCTCGATGCGTTTCGTCACGTTTTGTATCGCGATATTTTGTCAAACGATATTTCGTCCCATCCCTAGACGCTATCATGCAACACCGCGTTAGCTCCGAACGTGGCGGCAGTTTGTGTTGTTCACCGTCTCATGCTTTGGCATTTGTTTAGGTTTTGTGAATGCACTTCTGGCTCTGTGTCTCGAAATACAGCTGAGTATATTTCCATAGCATACCTGTTTTCTTCTGTCATGATTCCTTTTAAAACACAGAATCAGCTCGTTCTCCTGTGAATTTTTTGTCGGCCACACACTCTCCGTGCGCGCACTGACTTAACGTTGTGATAGTTTACATGCGAGTCGCGTGTAATTACAGACAGACAGCCGTCTAGTTTGATAGCGATGTCAAATATTGCGCGTCGATCAAATCGGTATTCTTGCAACAATTTTTCATGGCTAAATTGGTCCAAAGGGTTCTCCCTATTCCCTTTGATCTTCAGCTGGTTTCATAAATTCAGCCATGTCGTCTTATTTTTGTCCGCGTTACTCTTAAGGTTACGATTTCCAAACCTTAAGTTATACTTAGGGAAATTACCGTTAAGGGGTTTTATGCAACACTTAACGATTACTCAAGTGAAAAAACAGCATTTAAGGGAAATTCTAAGTGTTTATGACGTTTCACTTAAAAAAAACGTTAAATAACACTTAAGGGTATTTTTCTGCACCCTTAGGTTTAAGGGAAACATAAGGGCGACTTTAAGGGAAAATTAAGGGCGCTTTTCCACTGCATAGTACGGTTCGGTTCGGTACGGCACGCTTTGGCGCTTTTCCACTGCATAGTACGGTACGGTTCGGTTCGGTACGGCACGCTTTGGCGCTTTTCCACTGCATAGTACGGTACGGTTCGGTTCGGTACGGCTCACTTGTGGTGCTTTTCCACTGCATGGTCCGGTACGGTACGGCTCGCTTCGGCTCGCTTTAAATGGTACCTGGTCTGTTGAGGTTCCAAGCGTACCGTACCGGTACTAAAATGTGACGTAAAAACACTGCAGATCACTGATTGGTCAGACAGAATCGTCACTACCAGCGTCATTGGACACTAAACCCGCTAGATTTAAATAACCAGTAGACAACAGCCAACGCGGTAGCATCTGTTTTTTAAACTTTAAAAAGAAATGGCTGAATCGTGGTCAGTGGACGAGGCGCAGACGTTCCTCTCGTTGGTTGCCGAGGCGCGGATCTAGCGAGAGCTGGATGGGGCAAAACGGAATGAAAAAGTGTTCCAAGAAGTAGCTCAGCTCTTAGCCGCACACGGCTATCACCGGACCTACAACAGTGTAGGGACAAAATAACGATCAGTCCCACCCACTTTGAAGAGGTACTAACTGCGTTGGAAAAGCAACCGAGCTAAAGCGAACCGAACCGTGCCGTACCGAGTCGAGTCGTACCACGCAGTGGAAAAGCGAAGCGAGCCGAACCGTTCCGCGCCGAGTCGAACCGTACCGAGCCGTACCAGCAGTGGAAAAGCGCCATTAAGGTGCTTTATGCAACCGGGCACAGGTCTTTGTACTTGGAAGTCTGCCAAGTATGCTGGTGGCTTTAAGTGTCGTCTGGGACGGACAAAAGGAGGCTCTGGACGGAATGTCATTCTTCTGCAGTAATTCGAATCCGGCTCGAAGGACCAATTATAATTGAGGTTTAAGTTTACACTAATTCGGGTTGTTTCGAACCCCTGCAGACAGTCGATCAGAACTGTGTAATGACATCAAATGTAACGAATTCACTCTGCAGAATCCAAGTCTCATTGAAAGAGTTTACTGATGATAATTTCAAATGTAACAGGTGTGGTTTTTCTATTCACGCACACTATATTACATCAGTAATGTTCAGATGCTGCCAACAAACGTTCGATAAAGTGGAGTCATCTTGGAACAGCTCGCGTTCATTGCATCTGCTCGGTGCGCCTGCTTTTCCTCTTTTTGCACGTGATCAGTGATGACGTTGATGGGTGCGATTGGTCAAGTAACAGAGGAGCCTTTTGAACAAGTAAACTATTTCACATTGGTATTGTGAAACACAAATGCCTTATATTAATTATAAGACTCTGAAACTTTTATTTTCCCAGTTGAGTATATTCACTTATGTATTGATGTATAGTCTATGAAAATGTGCAGTGGTTGGCCTAGTTCCTGATCCAATCTAGATTTTTAATCTTTGATATTTATAAGGACGGCAACTCTGGCGGAAGAACCATCCAAAGATAATGCAATGAAATCACATTACCAGTTGTTATTGACTAGGCAGATAAACTCAAACAATAGAACCTTTTATACTCGCAAGATTTACGTATGAGGAAACTAGGCAAATGAAGTGAGCCAGTCTTCCTGTCGCAGTGAATGAGTGATGAATTTTTAAAGATGGATAGTGGGGTTTATTGAATGTGAGCAGTGCACTTGTGAGAAGCTCACAATGGAGCAGATAGAGGCAGCTATGTACCAGAAGATGAAGATTTCTGAGAGATTAAATGAAAAGCAGATGGAACGAATGGAGGGAGATCTCACCATGGAAAGAGGACAGAGGGAGCCCATCCTTAAGTGGTTTGTGGAGACTCAGGCTGTGCTCATCCTGTGTGACGGACGTTTTCCACCCTGGTTCCAGGGCTTCATCTCCAGGCAGTAAGAACTAATGAGAGATAAGAAGTTTGGTAACAGTAACTGTTTCACCATGATCTGTAAAACCATTTTTTGGTTGTTGTATTGAGGCAGTTGCACTGGTGCACTGTGGTAACTGTTGCTGTTTGCAGTGAAGCAGAAGATCAGCTCCGAGACAAGAATGTTGGTTGCTTCCTTATCAGACTCAGTGAAAAAGCCAGTGGATATATTCTTTCATACAAGTAAGAATAAAGATTTCTCTGTAACACTTTACCATAAGATCTAATTTGTTAACATTATTTATGCATTAGCTAACATGAACTGTAGAATATGATTTTACAGCATTTATTCATCTTTTTTAATGTTAGTTTACAAACGAGATTTTGTCATTTTTAGTAAATCCTAAGTATATTATGGCAACAAAAAAAACCCACAATGTACATATTGAAGCTGCTGTGCTTTGAGTCGTTTCATTTCTCTAATGCCTTATTTTCACAGAGGACAGGATCGTTGTCGCCATTTTGTCATAAATCAAACCAAGACTGGCATGTTCATCATTTCTGGTGATTCCACCACTCACAACAGTCTCACAGAGCTGATCAATCACTTTAAAACCACACCAATCCAGCCTTTTGGAGAGTACCTGACTTCAGACAACACAGAGATGGATTCTGTAGGAGAGGTAAAGTATTTTTGCATTCTTTGTAAAGGTGCACTGAGTAATTATTCCTTATTAAAAAAAAACTTTTACCCATAAAGAAATTAATACTTTTAAAAACTGTTTAAAGTCAAGTTGATGCAAATTAGATGAAAATGAACATGTAATCAGTAGCCTATTATAAGCTGTTTTATTTGACATGCAGCCCCAGCTCCATATTAAGACCACTAGCCAAACCTAATCTTTTGTTATTGGACTGTTTTGCTTGTGGAAAAACTAAATCATTGCTAACTGTGAATAAAGCACTTCTATAAAGGCATCAGAAAGGAAAATGTTTGCTTTAACATCTAGGTGTTGGGCATATTGACCAGCACAATATAAACAAAAAATTACTAAGTGCACCTTTAAATACATAACAATAATAATAATAATAATAATAACTTTAATTTGGTATAGCGCTTTTAAAAGTTAATTCTCAGAGCGCTTAACATAGACAATAGATAAAATAAGCATGACATACAAACTATTACAGTACATGCATACAAACAATGTTATAAATCTAAAAAAATTAAAATCAATAAACAAAACATAAGTTAAACAAAACCATAAAATATATTACATGGAGAACCACAACAATCATGTTTCACCCAAAAGCTTCTTTAAAATAATAAGTTTTAAGGGATGACTTAAACAATTTCAGAGATGGAGCACTTCGAATTTGTGAGGGCAGTGAATTCCATACCTTTACAAATAGAATAGCATGTTAAGAATTGTTTTACAATGTATGTACTTTTGTGTTTCTTTTCTTCTAGGATGCCCCAAATGAGCTTTATGATGTGGTTAAAAATAAGCCCTGGGTTAATTCAGGAGTGAGCGTTAAGGCTCTAAGAAGTTTATGGGAACAAACTAACAATGTCCCGCATTGCACGCCTCCCGTTCTGTCTTCTAAAAGTGGACGGAAACTCACAACCTCCACCTCTATTGACAGGAACAGCCTGTCACAGGTAACCATATCAGCTGCTTCCTTGGTTACTATCTATCTGGAAACAACGGCTAATTTTGTGGCGTACATTTTTTTTTATACATATCTGTTAAAATTCATGTATGTACTGTATGACTTCAATCATTAGGGTATGAAAATTCCACCTGTACCAAAGAAAAGCGCACCACTTCGGAATTCCTTAAGCGCTGGTTTTCCAGGTAAAAATCCTTCACATGAACAACTCAGTTTTTCAGAATCAAGGACATCTGGAAGGACAGGTGGAGACGAAAGAGTAAAGAGCAGAAGTGATATCACAGACACTGAGAGCTACAACCCTCAGTTAAAGTGGCCTCTCCACCATGAAAACGACCAGTCTCTAACCTTTAACTCTTGTAATCTTATGCCCTCCACCCCTCAACAACCTCCCTTACTTCCATCCAAAACAGCCTCCTGCTCTTACGCTGTCCTCGAACTTAAAAAACACCATACTGGAGCTGGCCGAGTGCCACAAACTGACAAAGTAGCCCTACAGCCCAATCCACTCTACCAGGCCTTGACTGGGGTTAACTCGGGGCAGAAGGAACAGCCAGGGCTAGTGTATGACAACCGTGCAAAGCCCATCGACAACATCCTTTTAGCAGAAAACCACTATCAAGACATACTTGAACAATGTGACAATAAACACATGCCTGAGAGCAACACCTATGAGGACATTCGAGTGACGGACAGCAATACATATGCAAGTTTGGATGAGATGCAGCCACACATACAAAACATCCTGGGGAAGAAGGTGAGATGAGACCTGACATAATTACAAACAAATATAGGCCTACATCATTTCTGCATTCATTTATCTTGTGAAAAAATGCTGAAACTGTTGTTTTTAACAGAATCATAAGTGGTGGAAACTTCGTCTGGAGAACAAGAAGTTATAGTCATCATATTATTTGAAGAAACACCACACAGGTGAATGCAAAAGCTACACATTTAAGTTTAGAATTATAAAGTCATAATTTTCATGTTAGTGTGTATGCGTAACTTCAATACAGTATGGCTTCCACAGTTACAAAATGCTAAACATTGTTAATGCAAATACCTTGATATTATTACGATGAAACATATTTTGAAAATGTATTTGAATACCTGCTCTGATTATATATATATAGTTATTGTTGCACTCCTGCTGTTTTCTGTTTTCCCAGGACTTTCTCTTTCAGATTATGTGTGGACAGCCTGTCACATTTAAACCAAGAGTTTCTGTAAACCCAATCCAGCAACTCCACACAATAGTTGTATGATACAATAGTCTTTGTCTACACATTTGAACCCATAACACTACACAGCATAACTCAATAAAGCACTGAGATAATATTACAGTAAGTGCTCTGTATGAGGTTAGTATTGAGTAGATTGATTACATTGTGCTTGGATGTGTTCCCCTATTTTATATTCATGCATGGAATAAGCTGTAGAAGTAGAAGCAGTATAGAATATAGACCTATAAAAAACCATGCCTTTCTGGCATGCATATTTTGTGCCCTCCATTATACACCATCCACTGCAATTCGGTTAAAGCTTGTCTAATAGCTGACTTATTGGATATCTTTGAGCCACTGAGCCATTTCGACTGGGTTTGGACTCTAAATACTGATACACTTACAACCTCATGATGGATTGGTGAGCTGCAGAACAGCCTATTATGCTATTTAATAAACTATGCTTGCATTGTTTTAGCCATCAAAATGACCTGCCCTGGGCTTCACTGGCTGTAATAGATTAATGTTTAAAGAGATTTGATGATTAATTTTTATGATAATTACATATGCTTATATTTTAAATTGTACCGTTATATGATGAAATAATTTTACTTGAAGATCATGTTCTCAAAGTCAAGAAGTGAATAGCTTCTCCTTCTCCTTCTCATCTCTCTATCCAAGCCTGCCTCCTTTATTACTGGGCAACCAAGTCTCCACTTCATTTGACTGAGAATGGAGAACATGTACACAGATCATTCAAGATAGAATCAAAATAATCACCCCTTTAAAGTGATTAAGATGGTTAAAAGCAAATTTATACCTTGAGCTCTGGCATGATGGCAATGCGACATGACAGGTTTATATGTGGAGCGTAGAGGTACAAAATTGGCCATAAAAATGACATTTACTTCAGAAATGGTAATGTATACAAATGAATTATCTCAGTCTAAAGCCGCGTTTCCACCGCAGGAACTTTACCCAGGAACTAGGAACTTTGGCCTGGTACTCGGTGTGTTTACACCGCAGGAACCAGGGTCTAAATGAAGTTCCGGGTAGATATTTCCCCCTCCGAAAGTCCCTGCTCGCGAGGTAGTACTTTTTCAAAGTTCAGGAACTTTCGCGGGTGGGGCTTGTGCGCTGAACATGCTGATTGGTTGTGTTCACGCCGCATTATGATTGGATAACTCCGCGCAGCATTTTATTTTAACCGGAATTTTTAGAATCTATTGCAGTTCGTGGCTTCATGCAGTAATGAAGTTCCATGCAGTAAAAGTTGTCTGTCTGCAAATATGGAATTTAATAAAAATAAAAAAGGCAGCTGGACCGACGACGAGATTCAGGCTTTATTAAGCGTATTTGCGGAAGAGAAATTTTCTGCGCGTTCGTCCCAGCCTTCTCACGGTCAATGTCCGCAATAGCTGATAACATACGCTGTCTAATTTTAGATCTAACGTTAGCATTACGAGCTTTCTGAACACGCTTTAGTATCAGTGCTCGTCTCTTTTCTGCCGTTTTGTTAATTACCTGGTTAGTAAACCAATACATCTCAAACAACTGCAGCACAGTGTGAATCTCTTCCATATTTATTATAAATGTGGCGCTCAAAACTGATTACTGTCCTTTACAGTCTACTGTCCGTCACAAGCAAGCAATGAGCAGTCGCGCGCAGTTTACCCGGTACCTTAGACCGCGATGTAAACGCAGAAAGCTACCGGTCTGGGGCAAAAAAAGTTCCTGGGAAAAAAGTTCCTGGGACAAATTGTTCCGGGCAATTGCGGTGGAAACGCGGCTTAAAACAGGACTTTGAGAATAGTAACAAGCATTTGTTTAATAAAATATTAGGTTCACACAATAAAATCCTGCTGGTAAAAAAGTACTAACCTGTAAAAAGAGAATCATTACAGAAATTATCAAGTGATTTCATGTCAGTTATCTGGTTACACACACCAACCTCACTTTCTGAACCAGTGAAACAAACTATAAGTAGACTAGGCCTATAGGCCTATTTTAAAAATCACTGGGCTGGTTTTCCTCAAATTGTTCATCTTTAAAAGTTAATTGTTGTCAAGACAGGCCCATACCAGATGTTCAAATCTGCTGCTACCACTTTTATACATTTCAGGGTAAATGCAAACACGTCCAAAGCACGGACGCAATTCGAGATTGTTTACTTATCGTTGTTGCTCCAGAGAAGTGGACTATCCAACCCTATCTCAGGACTCTACGGCGGTGAAGTACCGGTCTCCCCAAAGCAGGCGGTGACACAACCACAATTCACACTTTATTATTTACAAACCTTTCAGATTTTTTTCCCCAGTAGCCTATCCTAGTTTATCAGTGACAATAAACTTGGTAGCCCTTGTCATTAAAACGTTTTTAAATAAAATGACAAATATATATAAAATTTGGTGCCATAATAATTTTTCTTTTTTTTTTACAATAGTAAGCTAGGCTAGGCTGAAATATGCTACATTTGGTGGAGAATTTAAGCATATGGTGGATTCAAATAAGGGAAATTCGGGATAAACAAATGGTTTGTACCTAACTTAATGACATCATAGCTAAAATTCAGAAACCATGTGGTTATACGACAAAGTAAAATTACACCACAGAATAATTTGAATCAGAAAGTCAGGTATTTCCCCAAATATAGCCTATGTAAAAGTAAAGGCTGTCTGCATAAATTGACGCTGCTTCATTTCCTATCTCGTTCGTCCTAGAGCCCGTGGCCCCGGAAATCGATCAAAGACCTGCACAACGCGAACAGAGGAAACTCCCAACGTATTTAGGAAAAGGAAAAATATACGGTTGTATCGCATGCGGAAGTCTTTTTTGCCGAAATACCCAGGGAAATACCTGACGCACGCATAAATTCACCACCTTTACATCTGGGACAACCATGGGCACAACAGCTTGCAGTTATAGCCTACCTCTGAGTCTGCATACATTTCACATATGCCTACTTTAACGGTGCAGTGCATCGTTTAACTAAACATTAAAAATATATCACTGAACAAATCAGTGAATTGATCATAATAGTGGACGGGTTTAACATCCCCAGCACTAGGCTACAGCTTTTTATCCAATCAAATAATAAGCTAATAAACATGACCATCACTTACATATCAAAATACAAAACTCTGTTGAAAGAAAAAATGGTACAAGATATGAACGAGCTTCACCAAAAGTACCAGTACGTTTTGTTTTACTATTTTTCAAACCAAGTACCTAACTCAAGAATATGGAAGCCTAAATTCATAAATTTAAACATATATATTTTTTAATGAATAATCACATATAGGCTACTAAACGGTCCATTACCTTGTTCCATTAAGATTTATACAAATTGTTTTATTAAGCTCGTTTTTTTACTCATTTAGAATTAAATTATTCATTCAGTTTATTCAATTCAGTTTGATAGAATTTTACTATAGCCTCCAATTGAAATTCTTAAATGTAATAAAAAATTCACATAGGGAAAGAAATCGTAGGGTAAGCAACCAGGAGGTAGGCTAAATAGGAAATAATTATTATTTCAAGTATAAACTTTGATGAACTAAAATAATCATAATTATGACGACAAACGCAGTAGCCTATATTATGACTTTTTATGTCATAATTGTGACTTTTTATCTCATAATTTATATTTCTTTATGGCCATCCACTTCATGGTCGCAGGGACTTTTTAAGTCATCATTATGATGTAAAAAAGCATGACTTTTTTCTTATGTGGGGAAAAGGGACTTCCACACTAGTAGGCTACCTTTCGCGATGGCGTCACGACAGACACGCCCAGTCTTTTCCTCCTCACTGCTGTGTGCAGAAAAGTCAGGAAACACAAGTTCAACCGCATCTTTTATGTACCGTTAGCCGAATACCGTTACTCTGCTACCGATCCAAAGCAAGGTAGCCAGGCAGGAGAAACAGGAAACATGGCGAAAACGTACGACTATCTGTTCAAATTGCTGCTCATCGGAGACAGCGGAGTGGGCAAGACGTGTCTGCTGTTTCGATTCAGTGAGGACGCGTTTAACACCACTTTCATCTCCACTATAGGTCAGTTAAACACTATGACTATTTGAATTGTATGTATAGATTACAGGAATGTTTACTGTGTAGTCCTGCGGGAGGAGAAATAAGCTGTTATAGAGATACATGGAGGTTTACATGCGTGACTGTCTGTTGGAGTGACAGGAAGAGGCCGTGAATGTGACAGCCCGTTTACTGAGCTATTCATCGACTTGTTTTTTATTAGCATTTAAAATGACAAACAACCGATTTTCCATGTCAGGATCAGTTGGCATATACTCTTTTATATGTAATTTGAATCAAACGTGAGAGTATGCTGTGTTTATATAGCTAGCATGATGGCAGCCTGATTAGCTGTTCGCTAGCAGTGTGGGCTGGACTGCACTTTCGTTTCTGTGGTTAGAGACGTTTAGGTGTTTAGATTCACATTTCACCACTAAACAAAATGTCAAGGGGGCCAGAGCGAGCACTTTACTTGGATAAGATTAAAAAGGGGATTTGTGTGCAGTCTCAAGTGGCTTATCTCATATATATATATATATATATATATATATATATATTTTATATTTGAATTGCACTTTAACCTTAAAGTTGGCATGAAAATAATTCAACGTTTTCTAAACTCATGCTATTGATTGTACTGTGAACAATTCATCTGTGCATGTTTCATTTAAAAAAAAAATGTTTTGACCTCAGAATGTCATAACTGGACCTTCCTGTGAAACGACAGACTTTTCTCTGGTGACGTATACGCGACTTCTCCAATAATCATGAAGTCTGCTTAAACTTCGCCCCAGCAGACTGGTGTTCATCGGCCTCCACTATTGACTGCAATGCACACATCTCAAAATCCAATCCCAGACCCCAGAATTAAACCAAGCCCTACATATTTTCTTTTTTTTTTGATAATCTGATTAGTCATAATACAGGAAGATGTGTCACTACTTCCGATTCATTGCAACTTTAACACTATTATTACCTTGAAGCAGTAAACTGTTTAAGTCAGCTGACCTATATTGTTATACCGGAATAGGAACCTCTAAAAATAAGAATGTGCAAAATCATGTCACAAGCAATTGTACACATACATGGACTAGGTCACCAGGCTTATAGTTCTTGAACACGTTATTTGTTGGGATATTTTTGACACAACTTTGGGAAGGCTCGTCTCTACCGTGGACCAATATGTCATTTCCTGTGTGAAACCCGTGTGAGAGTTCCTTGACCTTTTGTCATTGTTATGCCACAGACTTCCCCTATTGCCATGGACAATACTGCTGTGTCACATCCCGTCCCATGTCCTGTCCGAGCTTTCACTGGTGGCAGGATTGTATGCCTCATACACACACTGCCAAGTTTTCTCATAATTGCCATAAGCAGAGGATCACAATCTGTTGCTACCAAATGCAACAGTTTTACATGCATCGTCTGTAAAGCCTTTTGCAACACTGTAGTAATTCAGTTGGTCAGGCATATGTTAAACCATTCTGACCTTTCTACACATTCCATATCCATGGTTACACCATGAAAACGTGCTAATGGGCCGATTCCCTTTTCAGCGGAAAGAGTTGTGATGTGTTCTGAGATGAGTCAGTTTCATAACGTGTCATCATAGGACTCCAATGTGCGAATACAAGGTATTGAGATACAGTGTTTCACTTATTTCTCAACATTATTATTGCAGGAATTGACTTCAAAATCAGAACAATTGAGCTGGATGGGAAGAAGATCAAGCTTCAGATCTGGTGAGAGTACAAGTCTGCGTTATACATTATAAAGCAGAGATGCCCAAACCCGTGGAAAGATTTGGCCTGTCGTGGCGTGGGGAAAAACATGCCATTGAAGCATATCTTCATTTGCTGGATTCATCCACTGGCTTCCTATTATTGTTTGAATGGGGAGAATTTAAGTCAATTTGATTAAAAAACATTTTATAATATAATATTGTTGGAAATTATGCAACATTTTTCGTCCCACAGCCCTCAATCAAGTTTTGATTTATGGCCAATACTGGTATATAAAGTATCATTGTATACACATGCAATATTTAAAATGAAATGTGTGTTTTAAATTTGCCTTAAAGGGATACAGCCGGACAGGAGAGGTTTAGAACCATCACCACTGCATATTATAGAGGAGCAATGGTAAGCTATAATGCCTTATTCTTTTGAGTAAATAATGTGGTTACTATTCATAAGCTATGTGTTTTTTTCACTTTCACAGGGAATTATGCTGGTGTATGATATCACAAATGAGAAATCATTTGACAACATCAGGAACTGGATCAGGAACATTGAGGAGGTGAGAAACTGAGCTAATGTTGGAGAAAATAAGCATGAAGTTTTCATTTCATTTAGCGAGTCTGTCATATGGATTCACTTCTGTCTGTTTTATCAGCACGCATCATCGGATGTGGAAAGGATGGTATTGGGTAACAAATGTGACATGAATGACAAGAGACAAGTTTCAAAAGAAAAAGGGGAAAAGGTATGTACAATTAAAAAAATAATTTATAAATGATTGAGATTACTGAAAAATCTATTTTATAAAACAAATCTTGATCAAAGGAACTGCTTGAACAAGCTGTATGTAAAATGCTGATGTGGTTATTTAAACAGTTCCTTTTTTGTTGTTGTTGCTACAGCTAGCTATTGATTATGGAATCAAGTTCTTGGAAACCAGTGCAAAATCTAGCACAAACGTTGAAGAGGTGGGGGAGAATTGTCTAATGTTGATCTAATTTGATTCATTTGACAGAGCAAGATTTGCATATTTTACAAGGTATCATACCATCTGATCTACAGTAGTGTCATATCTCTGTTTTCTTCAATTCTAGTCCTTTGTCACTCTTGCTAGGGACATCATGACCAGACTAAACAGAAAAATGGTGAGAATGCTGATGTAGAAAATGTTTATAATCTTATCTAAGAAAATTGATACGCTTAGTACTGCTCACTGACTCAAACACAGTAGTATGTTAATGTTATTGAAATGTTCGCAATATATGCGATGTCTTTATTGTGTCAATTCAAGTTATGAAAAAAAAACGTTAAATGTGGCTTTATCTCGGACACTAATGCTGAATGGATTCTTGTTTGCTTGGATCTTTGTGTTTAGAATGAGAATAACCCTTCGGGTGGAGGAGGAGCAGTGAAAATCACAGAGAGTCGGTCTAAGAAGCCAAGCTTCTTCCGCTGCACTCTGCTCTAACCCAGCAACTCAGTGTGTGAATGACTTCAATCATTTCTCTATGTGTGTTTGAGCTCAGTGTGTGTGTGTTTATGCGAGAGTTTACAGTACCACTGGACTTTCAGCTGTTAGCTGCTGCTGAGAGCTCTGGACTTTAGTCTGCCTCATCTAAGGCCTGAAGAAAGTATGCTAGATAAAAGACTCTTGAGCTGTTCCCAAAACATTTCTTTTAAACCAAAATATCCATCCACCTTAACCCTCCCTGGGCCAATCATAATTTAGTGTTGCCTGATTTGAATTTTGAAAACATTTTTTCCCCCTTTAAAATGTCAGTAATCAATTATATATAGACAATTTATATAGTTGCATTGATTTTGAAGTGCTTTGTTAAAGCACAGTTTAATGAAGGAAAGAATATGAAGAGATTACAGATATCAAACATCTGCCATTATGCAGTTTTTGGCAATAAAGACTGGACCTAAACTGAAGCAACTGAAGAACCTGATGGTTTGACAGCTAAATATTGGTCAAACTGAAAGGCATATATATAATTTTTGTTGTCGTTGTATGTTTTTTTATCTTCTTAAATTTGTTTTTAGTTACTGTTCCAAAGCAGCAATAAACTGTGGAATATAAAGCAGCGTTCCACAGGTTGTAGTCTTCCCCCTTTCCCTGACTTTACGTTATTAACCTTAATTGTAACAGAGACCAAAGTAAAAAGAAATCAAAACTGTGATTAATATGAAGTCAAAATTTTTTCTTTTTTGGTTGTAATTTCTCATATATTACATATTGAGCATGAAAAGAGAGCGAAAGAATTTAAAGAGAGGGCTAGGACACTTTTCCTAATGCTTGTTGAAGCAGCAGCCAGCTAGGCCCTGTATATTAGTATATACAGTATTACATTTACTAATGGTATTATATTTTTATACGTAAGCATCTTTTTACTCACCACTTCATATAAAACATGTTAACCCGTGCTTATGTGAGATTTATTTGTTAATACTTATTTTTTAAATGTATTAACTGTCGTCACAGTATTCTTTACATTGTCTTTTTTTAATTCCCTCTTTTATAAGACTCTTATGAGTGTGAAGTCATGTAGTGTTTACAGTAACAACACTGCAACAATATCTTTTTTTAAGTCGTGCACTGTTATCTGTGTGTTTGGGTCTCTCGTAGAGCCTCCTCACTTCATAAACCACTTAAAGTCCTGCTTGTGAAGTCAGCCACTCAAAAAAGAGGGCAAGATTGCACTAGCTTGATTGTGTTCAAGTGTCCTCTGAGCTTATTGGGCTTTTACCAGGCCCAAATGGAACCTGCAGACTCTTATCGCTGATTTTTTTGGGTGAAATCCATTGAAATTCTGCTAAATGGTTTTAAACATGGTCAAATTTGTTAACCAGAGCTGAGAATACTAAACTCTTATTACCTTTGAGCATATCAGACGTTCAATTTCTGCGTAAATCTGCTAATTTTTCCATGTACAGATTCCATGTGGGCCTGTTACAAATTCAAACACAAAATTCAAACTGAAACGCTGAGAATCTTCAAATTTCTGAATTCACAGTCACTTAAGTTACTCAGAATGAATGAATGATTGATTCTACTGTTAATGTTTAAGGGTGTACGATTGCTTGAGTTCCATTGGCTGTTTTGTATCTGTTTGATAGAACCGCTGCTCGGAGGTGTGCCATATCCACTTAAAGGGATAGTCCACCCAAAAATGAAAATTTGGTCATCATTTACTCACCCTCATGTCATTCTAAACCTGTATGTCTTTCTTTGTTCTGTGGAACACAAAAGAAAATATTTTTGGAACAAGAAAATGGGGTGTTGTTTTTTGTCCATACAATGGAAGTCAATGGTAACCAAAACTTTCGTGTTCCGTAGAAGAAAGTCAGTCATACAGGTTTGGAATAACATGAGCATAAGTAAATGATGATATATTTTTCATTTTTGGGTGAGCTATCCCTTTAATGGCCCTGTAGTCATGTTTTGAATATGCATGCAGGCACATTTGCATATTTTTCAATGAAACAGTGACAGCACTCAACCTCCCATATGAGCATAGTCTTACTGACTGTTCAATGCAAGCTTTTATGTCCTATTTTATAACGTCTTCCTTGATTTTCTTGTCTGTTCTATAATATGTCAGAGTGTCTGTTCTATAATATGTCAGAGTTAACTGATTATGTAAAAAAGATTAAAATATCTTTTCTAAGTTATTTACATGTGTTCGATTCATTTTTTTATGGCGCTACCATATAAGATAATATATCATTTATATGATATTTTAATATTTTTCTGCTTTATTTGGAATAGGAATTTGGAAAGTTGTTGAATAATAAACAGCATCACTGAAAGTTAAAGTTCCCTTTATTTTGAAAAATGGGATATTTAAGATCTACAGCACAGAGGTAGACCCTTATTTCCCTTTTCATTACCAGGTTTTATTACGTACCTCATAAATATGTATGAAGTATGCCTTTTAGCTAAGATGTCAGTGCATGAGCATAACCAGTGTTAGTTAAGTGTATTCCATACTGGAAAATAATAAAAAAAAAAAAACTTGATACACTTCTTTAAGCTTGCACTCCTGCGATTATCTTACTAAAATTATGTCTCTCTGGAGGGTCTGTAGTCATTGGCGTTGACTTCAAAGGCCCCAGCCAGGTCTTTCACACTACTGGCTGCTCGAGGTTTATCCAGGATGTCCCCTGCGGCCTTCACCTTTCGTGGATTAGTGTTCAGACTCTTAGATCTGAGTGAGGGGTACATCCTGTCCTCTGCTACATACAAGTGATCTGAATCTGTCAGCTCTTCTCTCTTCTCTTCTCCCCCCTCTGTTTTGATGCTTTCGCTATTTGCCTCCGTCTCATTCTCGTCATTCTTCTTCTCCTCACTTTGCTCTTGTTGGGTTTTTGTCCTCTTGCTCTCCTTAGAAGCTCCTTCCTTATCTCGGTCCTCTATCTGTCTTGATTTCTCTGAAGATGTCTTGGGTGAAAGGCCGAACGGGGAGGGATGAACTTTGTAATCGAAACGTGGAGGCCAGCGACCTAGCGTTGGCGATCTGCTTGCTTGATATTGTAGGCCGTGAGGCTCCGAAGCCCATGTGTTTTCCGAATTGCCCAACCTCGACTGGGCCACCGAGACATACAATGTGCTGCTTTGGGATCTGTTCCCGTACGAAAGTGAGTTACTTTGAGTTTCAGTTGGGTGCTGCCTCAGGGACTGCGCCCTTTCCAGAGGATGTGACATTGCTGCGTCGATCCTAGCTTCTAGCAGAACCTGTGGGTCTTTAGGGAGATGAGCGGAGGTGAGTTTTGAGGATTGAGAACTCTGGCCTCCGCCTTGTGACTCACAGGGCGAGATGAGGATGTCCACACTGGAGCTGGAGCGTGACCTCTGCCGAAGGGGGACCACTTCCAATGTGGGACCGTAGGATGAAACATGTTGAGGATTTAGAAGGAGCTCGCCGCAGCCAATACTGCCACGATTCTCTGTTTGGCCCTTCCTGTCCCCTGACATCTCATCACCACGGTCCTCAGCATCCAAGTGCCAGCGGTACAAACTGTAGCCGTCAGCACTGTTGACACTACCGCGACGAAGCAGGCCGGATTGGTCGACGGCCGCTGTGCTCCCGGATCGAGAGCGGACCAGCTCGCAGCGGTCGATGCCAGCCAGCCGCTCCAGCGCGTGCATCATGCGGCCAGAGAACTCCTCTAGCTGAGCCAAGCGCAAGTCTATTGTCTGAAGAGAGGCTTTCATGGAGTGCTCTCGCTCATTCACCTCCTCCAGGCGCATGGACATGTTCTCGACCCTGCAACAGCAAGAGTTTCAAATGGTTGTTGTCGTTTTAAACTCAATTGTTATTCTAAATGCAGGGCTCAACAATAAGAAGGGCCTGCTTGCCCAAAGCCAGTGTGCGAGAGTTTGGGGCCAGCTGACAGAACTGTCACTGGATCTTTTGGGCCAGTGCTACATTAACGGTGAACATTTTACATTCATTAATTCAGTACATCCATTTTTTTTATGCTTTTTAAACTTAAATGTTTGGATTTCTGTGATATATTCTACATTGTTGTTGCAAATTCTGCTTATTTGTCACCAAAGAAAGTTATCAATCTGGCTAGATGGCAAATCCTGGATTTGGTGAAATTGCAAAAATAATAGTCTTGAAAGCATTAGTATGGGTCTAATGCACAGAATGCATTTTTGCACTCCATTGCATTCTTCTAAAGCGTCTTGTGCATGATGCCGCTCAAGTTAAAAGCTGTTCATGTTTTTAAAAAACACATCTCAGGACCGTGCTTTTTTTTCCTTTCCACTGTTCGCGTCTAGAGTTTTTTCAACGGCCCAAATAGGAAAAAAAAAATTGCAAGGTCTTACATTGTATGCCATAGTTAAAAAACAACAACAATATTCATTAAATGTTTATGAATATATGGAGTTACATTTTAACTGTATAATTTCCAGATTTGAAAAAAAAATTGTAAGAACAATGCTAAAAAATACAAATAGATCATTCTGAACAGCAGAAAAAACTTGTTGAGCCCTGAAATTACATTTGCAGGTGCAGTTGTTTTCCATCCAGTACCTCTGGGAAGTGATTCGGATTCGCTCATCATTGGAAGAATGCGTTTCGTCCTCCTTCTCTCTAAAGTACTCCTCCACACACTGTTCCTCAAACTCATACAGACCCTTCAGTTCCTCCAGACTCAGAGTCAACTCTGAAAAAAAGAAAAAAGATGATAATAGCCCGTTTTAAAATAAGTTGCTATAACATTGATAGACTGAAGCAGTAAAGGAGTAATAACTCAGCCCGCGGTCTCTCTCGTCCAGCTCCCCTTCTTGTTTCTTTCTGCAGCGGCAGCACAGGCGCTTCAACACAATGTACATGTGGCTAAAGATAATGAGAGGAGGAGGAAGCACTGGTCTGTCATGGAATGTCATGATTAGCTGGTAGCGCTGGAACTTCCATATTTGGTTGGAGATGGATTTCACTTCAAAGAACGTGTTACTGTGAAGGGAATGAGTTCTCTTGATGAGTTGATGAATAAATGAGAACATAATACAGTGCTATGGCTCACATCACTGCTTTATGTTACAGGGTAAGCGTTATATTTAGTCTTTGACTCACTTGAATACAGCAATGAGCAGGTTGACCAGTAGGATGTTGGCTACCAGTAGGTAACAGGCCATGATGGCAGGTGTGAGCCAGGCCCCAGGTATACATGGAGGGAGCTTTTTTCCATCTTCATCATACAAATTTTCACCACAGGGTGCTGTCATAAATAACAGAGG